CAGTCTCCCTAGAAGACATCTACACCCAGAACCCATCCCATGTTTGTACTATACCATGAACATCTGTTCTGCAGTTACCTTCATGTTGCCCATGAATGATGTTCAGTGTTCCATCAGGGGCACCAGCATCCTGCAGCAGCCTGGCAAGGAACATTAAGGCTCCAGGCACACGTTCTGAAGGTTTCATCAAGAAAGTGTTTCCACACACCATAGCCATGGGGAACATCCAAAGAGGAATCATAGCTGGGAAATTGAAAGGTGCAATGCCAGCACACACTCCCAGAGGCAAACGGTAAGTGTAAGTGTCCATGTCTTTAGTGATGGAAGGAAGGGTTTCTCCCAACATAAGGGATGTTATGCTACAAGCATGTTCAACAACCTCTGCAACACAGAGAAAAAGTGCTATTCTGAGATCTCCTGCTCTTCAGCTTCCAAACACCCTGTTTCCCACACTGGCATAGTTTGATAACTCTTTCTCACTCTAATCAGTGCCAACACTTTCCATTCTGGCAGTTTTATGCTGACAGAAACATATACTATTCTAACAGGATTCTACTATTAACAAGCACTGTCACTGTTGTCAGAGAAGAAAATAGAACCACTGAGGAAGAGAGGAGCACTACCGCAGTGTTTAAATGGCAGTCAAGGCTCTGCTGATGACCCCAGTTCAGTCCCGATGGGTTCAGGTAGTTGGCTCAAGGCTAACTCAGCTTTCCATTCTTCTGAGGTTGGTAAAATGACTACCCAGGTCACTGAGGAGCAAAGTGTTATTTGCGTAATTATGTGGTAACCTCCCAGAAAGTGCTGGGACAGTATATAAGTTGAAACAACAACTCAAGCCCCTTTGATTGAGCCACAGTTCCTCCTCTAAATCATGCAGTTATGTTCCTTGTTCTAGAACAGGAGCAGAAGTGAGAGAAGCATTATTCACAGGTAAAGTCTGGACATCCCCGCTTTGTGCTGCCGCTCCAGCGTCTTATGCAATGGCAGCACATGCATAAACTGATTCACACATGACCCAGTTTATCTGCTTCCTTTGACTTTATATCTGCCCACCAAGCTGCAAATTGGGTTGAGGCGCCAGCTTTTTTGCCCTTTGCCTTTTTGTTGCTATACTTGAGCTGTTGGAGAACTGCAGTTTTGTCACCAGTCACAGGCTGTCTATATAGGAAATGGGGCCACAAAAACAGCCACTGCTGATGCTATGTGGAGTATAACAGGGAAAGTGTGTTTTAAAAGGAATAATGACTCTTTACTTTTACTCTTTACTCTTATGTATCTGTACTCCTCCAGATTATAACCAGGAGTGATCCTGGGGAAGGAGATGATCCTGGGGAAGGAGATTGCAGGGGTTAGAATAGGTGACCCTTGGCAAAACGTTCCAGCTCTACAACTCCACAATTCTATGCTGCAATCACCAAAGCTCCAATTCATATTGCATTTTTGTTTCAGGGTATGTCTCACTCTTGTTACATATACAGAAATGTATATTTATCTGCATCAGTGTGTTCATATAACACTTTGTGCCTATTTTCATACTTTAGAAAAAATCCTTGGGGATGCTCATGGTACGAAATGGGGAAAAAAGAAAAACAGGCTCTCAGTCTATCAAACCCTAAACCAACTGCTTTGGAAAGTACCTGGCTCTCTTTCACTGGAGATACTTGGGCAGATGCTGGGCAGCCGACTTAAGGGGATGCTGTTGTTGTATCTGTGAGCTGGGGCTTGGACCAGATAAGTACTATATATCCTAACACTATGATTTTATGGGAAATGGGGAAACATGAAGAAGAATGAAAGCTGAAAGAATATAGAAATCACAACTCAAATCCAAGTTAGGTCCTGCTGCTGCAAGAGTGGTTTCTATCAGCAAAGGAAGCTGACAATTCTCTCACACCTGTGCAGCCCTCATGTGCCCTCAAAAGCTGTTCCAGAGGATCTGAAAAATCTCTGGAGCAGACTCTGGGAAGGAACAGAGGCTGAAACATGGAAAAGAGAAAGCAGAAACCTGTTCATACAATGGTGGATTCTGATCAGTTTATAAGGTTCAAGGAATCTATTGCAGAAAATTTAGGCAGTTCTTTTTCTAGGTTCTTCTTCCTAGAACTCATGTTATGCAGAAGCATCCCATGAAACCCATTTTTCCAGGTACAACAAGACGCATATGCCAGCAGCTTACGGAGGCCTCGGAAGACATCTCCCTCAGCATCTGCCAGGGTCTTCCCTTGCTCCAAGGTGATCAGTTTTGAAATTTCTTTCTGGAGACAAAGAGCGAAAATAACTCATGAAGGTGGAACAAGGGCAAGTCACACAAACCTAGAAAAGAATATTGCAGAGATGGGCAACAGTGGTGCTCCAGATATGCTAGGTCTAAAACTTCCATCAGCCTAGCCATTCAGAAGAGATTATGGGAGTTATATGTTTTTAAAAAATCATCTAGAGAGCCACAACTGTCTGCTTCTGATCTACGGAATCAGAAGGGAATAGGTTGGACATTTTGTTCTACTGAAGGGCAAGCAACCATATAAGAAATGGCTAGGTCACTCAGCCACCTGAATAGACGCTTCCTTTTGCTCCAGTCCTTGCTGCACTCTGCAGACCATGAATGATTCACCTGGGTTGTTCACCGTGATGACAAATTGTAATGCTGCCAACCACATTTCAATCCAAATTAGAAAGAAAAGCTTGTGAAGGCCAAGTCAAACTGACAAATCTGTGATTGCTTTATTGCCTGGCCAGAATCTCATCCTCCCATTACCCCATTCCAAAATATGTGTTCTGCATCACCACCACCACATACTATTGCCGCAAGATAGCATGTTGCTGTCCCCATGGCAATGTGAACACTAATCTGGACGGAACCATGGAGGGAACATGGTGGAAGGCCCAGGTTCTCCCTCATCTTCATAAGAAACATTCTATAAAGAGAAAACACCTTGCTATAATGTCAGGTGGCTAAAGAACAGCTGTTTCTAGGAAGTGATAATATCTACACGGAGCAGTGCAAGATACTTCCTAAATTGATGGAAATTGTATGCAAGATAAATTCAGTGGTAAAAGTGTTATTTCTCATTTGCAACAATTCAGTAGATAAAGTTATTATAAATCCCATGTTATAGGCTAAAAAACAAAAGAAAATTCATAGCAGTTCCTCACCAGATTATCCTTGATAAGCTGTTGGTATCGCAAGAAAACTTGCTGTCGACTAAGAATTGATGTCTCAGACCAATTTGGTAAAGATTTCTTGCATGAAGCCACTGCTGCTTCCATCTCACTCTGAGTGGCTTTGGGAACACGGCCAACCACTTCATTGGTGGCCTGTTAAGAACAGCAAACTGAACATAATTATCACTGTAAATAAAAGATAACCCCAACCCACCTGAAAAACCATCTAAGCGCAATTAATACAGGGTGGAAGTTCCCCTCTGATAAGGAAGAGGGTGCAGCTTTATTAAAGGCCCCACCATACCCAACAGAAAGCTTGAGAAGTACACATTTATTATCGACAGTTGGCCCAAAAGGTAGTATTCCAGGCCAAGAGACGCATATGGATTTGCTGTATACAAGGCCTCCTCCATAAGAATTAGGTAAAGGTTCCCCTTGACATTTAGTCCAGTCATGTCTCACTCTAGGGGGCGGTGCTCATCCCCTTTTCCAAGCCATAGAGCCAGCGTTTTTCCAAAGACAGTTTCCGTCATCACGTGGCCAGTACGACTTAGACGTGGAACACTGTTACCTACCCACCGTGGTGGTACCTGTTTATCTACTTGCATTTGCATGCTTTCGAACTTCTAGGTTGGCAGGAGAAAAAGGTACCAGTGAAAGGAAATAAGGTCTCTTACACACCCGTAATCCACCTACTCTTCCAACCACAAACTGGCAAGGGTTTGGAAATGGAGGACTGTCTTAATCATTTTCCTCTCCACCCTTCAACCTCACTTAAGATTACTCTGTATTCTAACAATTTAGATATATTTAAAAATAGGTGTCCACCAGCTGCTGCAGAGCTTTGCAGCCAGTCATCACTTTCTAGAAGTTAGCTTCAAAGTTAAATTCCATTATCTTTTCAATTGGTCATAATTCGAAGATGTTCATAGGTTACAAACTAGCCTTGAACAGATTGCTATTGTATTTAGGTACTTACTAAAACATAGTTGTTTTTAATACCCTACCAGAGAACAGAAGGCTTATTTTCATCTTTTTTTAAACAGTAAACCAGACTTGTAATCTTTACAAGCAAATATTTAAAAGTATTTTTGTTTCTACTTGCATCATAGGAAGTACATGTACATGATTCCTTTGGTCAAGTCCCACCCAGCTGAACTCTAGACTCTGTTGAGAAGACGTGTCCACAACTAAGTCTGTCCTAAGAGTTTTTTCCTTTAAAAAACATGCAATCTCTAGAACCATAAAGAATAATTTAAATCATGAGTCCCCAACCCTTGGTCTGCAGCCTGATGCCGGTCTGTGGCCTTGGCCGGACCGGGCTGTGGAGACAGATCTCCCACCCACCCCACACGCACTCCCTACGCACAGCCCCTTTGTGCATACGCGTGAGTACATGTGTCCCCCACCCCTTCGCGCACACACCATGCAAGTGCCCTATGCCTTCATGCATGCGAGTGTGCATGCGCTGCACGAGCGCTGCCTGCCCCTTCGTTCGAGTGCCTGTGTGCCCACACAAGCGAGCACCACCCCTTTGCACATGCGCGGGGGTGCCCCTATCCCATGCACAGACCCTGCCCTCCGTGTCAAAAAGGTTGGGGACCACTGATTTAAATAATTTCTGCATATTTGCTAACAGATAGGCTATATATCTCTTTTCAAGTTCAGCTTGCGTTCTGCATGGACCAGGGCAACTAGAAGCAAGACAAAGCAACCCCAAAAGGCTCCACCTTTGTTCCTGCACATTTTTTTGCACTGTGCAAATAAGAAGGATGCTTGGCTTCTTCTGTTCCTTCATCTTTGAAGGCATTATTCAAAAGACGGGGTTATAATTTCAAATACACAAAATAAACCTTGTGTTGGATGGAGGCTAACAGCAAACTCTTGAGTCTTGGTTTTACAGACCATTAATTGCTTAGACTTCAGGGAGCTCTACAGGGGAGGAAAAGTAATTCCAGCTTGCTTTGCTAGCAGCATAAAAACACAGACCTTCAAGTATTTCTCCTACAGACCCAATGCTCTGCAGATGCCAAATAATACTTGGCATAAAATTAGTTGTAGTCTGTCCTAGAATGAAGACTTAGGACTCCATTAAGCAAGCTAATTTCAAAGACTATACAGATGTACAGTAAATGCATATCACATTATGGTTTGTAGTAAATTTAAATAGTTTTAAGATTAAAAAATTATCTAGATTATTTCAGCCAAAAATCAGGACTTTGTCACACCATGAGGAACCACTCCAATGGCAATCTAAATTGTCTTTTCCTAATTAAGAAGAAATTCTGTTTTCTAGAATTTTAAGGTTCTGATATGGAGCCAAGAAAGTAAGTTTTTTTTATTCAAGAGAAAGACAGTGACACAACATTTCGAATTGAGACTATTTAGAAATACTCTTTATAGCATCATAATAAAATCTGTCTCTTCTTCTGAGTAGTTAGCTGCATAATTAAAAGGGGCTATTTGTCTCTGAAGGAAGATAAACACAAAAGAGAAAAATTGCTCCACTTACTGGGTTGTGGATATCAATCCATTCATTACTTTTGGACTCAACAAACTTGCCATCAATGAAGAGTTTGGTGGTCGGCTGTAGAATACAAAGTGCTGATCAATGCCACAGGTAATGTATGAGGCCATGCTGCCAATCTGGTGAGACTTTTTCACACACTTTATAAAGACCCAACTGAATTCTTTCTATTTTTCCCTTCTCTCTACAGAACTGCACACACCCAAGCCATTAGGTCTATTGTTTGTTCCTCTGAAAACCAAGTGATTAGTTTTCAACCTGCCAACATGAGTACAGATAGAAGAATATTCTCCTGTACATGACTGGGTCAAGAAAACTGGTGCTTCCCTACTCTCAGTTGTTGGCGAGAGTAGAAGCAGTCTGGTTTGCATACAATAGCCTCTTCTCAGGACCAGGCCAGAATTCCATTCATTCTCTTGCACAAACCTAGGCAAGCAGTACATGGGAGAAAAGGAGACTTCAACAGCACCATTCCTCTTTTATTTTTTTCTTTTAAACACCATACAATAACTCACCACTGATGATGATGAAAAGAAGGCTGAGGAATGCCAGCAAAAATTTAACTTCCGAGAGATCTGTAAGATGGAACAAAGGGAAGACAGAATTAACTCAGTAGAGCAATAATGTCTATCTAGGGCAATGGTGGATAACACACAGCTCCCACTTCATTTATTTTCCCAGCCCTCCAATGACCCGTTTCTCCCAGAAACTTTTTCCAGCTGGGAAAAGCTGAAAGTAGCAAAAAGAGGGGGAAGACTAAATAAGCTATGCATTGATTCTTGGGTTTGCAAGAGCTAAACAGGGTTGTTAATAATTGGACCTTTTGGAGGTCACTAATGCATAAGTCAGCAATGACTTGGCAGCACCAGCACAACAATGACCTTCACTGCCCCCTCCACTGAATCTACTACAGTAGCAGTGAAATAAAGCAGTTAAAACAGGACAGAGCAAGTTCCAGCGCTCCAGTTGATGGTCTGCAGCACTCATCATTTCCTATTGGCTATGAGTTTATGGGGCTGAAGTCCAACAAGGTAAGATGTTTTCTGCTCTGCTTTAAAGGAAGATACATGCTTCCTCTACACCTTATTTACAAGTGGAATCATACTCACCAGCTTTTAGAAATACATTTCCACTTGCAAGGTGGACAATCATTTTTTTTAAAAAAAATCAAATTGATTTAAATAATTTACATTAAAATATTTTATTTAAACCATTAAAAAGTCAGATTTTTAAAAAATTAAATTGTGATTTAAATCAAATCCATCCTGTCCACTTGGAAACAAAATATGTGAATAAGAAACTTTGTTTAAATGAAAAATCTTTTCCCCCATCTCAGCCAAAAAGTATCTCCACTCACACTCTTAAAGGTGTCCAGCCCTAATCTAGGGTCACTGTGGGAACACACAGCCACTCAAAATTCAAACAGGCACCATGCACAAGCTCTTCATCAGATACAGTTCCCAGCCTGAGAAACGTATGGTCTAAATTTAGACTGGAAACAAGCAAGGGTAACTTTGAGCAACATAAATTACTTTACTGCACTGCAACTTCAGTATTGCATTACTGTGGTTTCTGGTTGCTAGACCACAAATCTTGTTACAGAACGCAATACGGACACAAAACACTGATTAGCACATTCCCTCTAGCCCAGTCTACTTTTGGTTCCATATTCATATTTATATTCAAGATGAAAAAGACCCTGATGTTGGAGCACATTCCCTCTAGCCCAGTCTACTTTCGGTTCCATATTCATATTCAAGATGAAAAAGACCCTGATGTTGGGAAAGAGTGAAGGCAAGAGGAGAAAAGGTCGTCAAAGGACAAGATGGCTAGACAGTGTCATTGAAGCTACCAACATGAATTTGACTAAACTCTGGGAGGCAATGGAAGACAGGAGGGCCTGGCGTGCTCTGGTCCAGGGGGTCACGAAGAGTCGGACACGACTTAACGACTAAACAACAACTGATATTCAAGATAGCAAGTTCCCTATGCAGTTTAACAAGGCGGGTTTTAACAAGACTCTGCCTCAAGAGCTGGCTGGATAGCTCAATAGTTTAATATTCAAGATAGCAAGTTTCCTATGAAGTTTAACAAGGCGGATTTAAACAAGACCCTGCCTCAAGAGCTGGCTGGATAGCTCAATAGTTTAGGAACCTGGCTGTGGAGGCAGAGGCTGGAAGTTCAATTCCCCTCTGTGCCTCCTGGGAGAACAGCCAGCCTGTGTGGCCTTGGGCAAGCTGCACAGTCCCAAGATGCCCCCAGAAAAAGGGAATGGAAAACCACTTCTGAATATTTTCTATCTGGAAAACCCTAAAAAGGGTTGCCATGCCTCAGAATTGACGGACAATGCACATACCACAGTTTCAAGAACATGTTTAAGAGGACAGCACTGCATATTCCTACTTATCAGTCCTCACCCAAGAGAAAGGTGGAGAACTACAATGCAAACTGCTTGAAGCAGAGAGGAAAAGTGTGTTCCAGATTCTCCAGGATTGCAGTTCCAGTCCAGGGCTGATACGAACTGCAATCCTACACTACCTGGAGAGTCAAACACCTCCGACAGGGTTCTAAAACAAGGTGCTCTGACTAACCTTTTCTATGAGAAAAGGGGGACACTCGGCTGTGGGCTTCTCAAATACCAACTCTTCGCAGCCGCACTCCTAAAACCATTTTCGACTAAGCTGATTTTGTTCCGATCCTGCAAGGTGCGCCTCGCGTCCTTAACCTAGACAGGCAGCACCGGTTGCAGAACCGATCTGGCGGAGTGTTTCCCGATATCCTGCAAACCCACTCGCGCGGTGAACCCGACACACGCATTGGGAGCAGGCCACCGGAGACGCGCACGCTTAGCTTAAGAAGTCCGCAAACCCCAGGCTCGTCCTAACATCTGCCACCACCCAAAAAAACCCGAAGTGGCGTGAGTGGCCGCTGTGACAGACGACGAGGATGGGTCCGACTCCAGAACTCAATTCTGGAACATTAAATCACTTTTTCGTCTTCCGCCCCGATTATGTGGAGGAGATTTAAAAAGAACGAAAAGATCGTATTCGCCCTTCCCAATGAATTGACCAGCGCGCAACTGGCACGTGGGGGCCACTGGGGCCCCTTCCCCTGAACAAGCCCTGGGCCTCCGTCATTCCATCTCACCCTAAACCACAGGCGCCGCCCTGCCGTCGACCCCCGAACCGCCACGGCTACCGCCATTCCGCCAGCTCCCCCCTGTTAAAAGGCGCCCCGCCCACCTCCAGCTCAACATTCGCACTCCGCCCTAGCTTGGGGAGTGGCCAATGGCATTGCGCCTTCCTCCGTCTTCCCCGCCCACCGATGCTTCGCAAGCCAATGAGATATTTCCTATCCCTGTTTGATCCGCCATGCCTTTTACAAGCCACAGCGACAGGGCTGTAAACGCCTCCTCTAGACGGAGCCTGATTGGATGGTTCCTTTCTCCCTAACGTGACCGCTGGAGAGAGAAGGGGGCGGGACCAAGCTGTTCGAAAAGGGGCCGTCGGGTGGTTAGACTCCCGCGCGAAGCAAGTGGGGAGGGAATTGCATGTCACGTGATGGACTAAGATGGCGGTTTCTACCGAAGGTGAGAGATACTGTACTGATAAGGAAAGAGGTGTTTGGATGCTGTCAAATCTCCCCTGTCGGTACGGTAGAGCTGTAGTTTTCTGCTGTTTTCGACTTCGAATTGAGCATGCGTACTTGGATGGGGCAGTGTGAAGTTGCAGGAATTTGGAGTGAAATTTACTTCTGAATAAAATTGAATAGATTTGGTCTGGAAGGTTGCTTTTTTGAGTAGTTTACATAGGCTGCTCAGAGCCAGAAATGACCATTATGTTTTGATGATTGGGAACTTTATGACCATCTATCTGCATGCTCACCCATAACCATGACGTTTATGAGCGATGATGGAAATTGAATTGTAACGTCTAGGGGATGCCACGTTCTTCATTCCCGTTTTAAACTAAGATCCAGATTGATTTGATCCTTTTCTTGGACACTTTAGAGAGAGTGTAGATCTGTGGCAGACTGGGTGCTTGCACGCAAACTCAGTGGACCCTCAACTTACAGATGGCTCAACTTACAGACTTTTCAAGTTACAGACTTCTCTGGCTGCAGAATTTAGGTTCGACTTGCAGCCAGAGACTCGACCTACAGACCAGAAAAAAACCCAAAATGGAACAAAAATGGCTGGTTATGGATTAATCGGTTTTCACTGCATTGTAGGTCAATGGAGCCTCGACCTACAGACTTTTCGACCTGCAGCCAACGTTCTAATATGGATTAATTCTGTAAGTCGAGGGTCCACTGCAGTTCCATGTCTGTTGTCACTCTCTTGGGTAGTACAGTAGTGTTGGAATGATGTTCGATGGTGCTGCCCATTTCATCCTAGATTGGCTCATTATTGCATTTTTAAAATATGGAAGCCTCGGAAGTGGCTTATTGACTTTTTCTATGCAGTACTAACAAAAGTTAGTTTGAGTTTCAGTACCATTGTCTGTGAAATAAACTCCTTTGGTGTCACCTTCCATTACCACTGCTGCTCAATAGTTGTCCTTGAGGATTTTTTTGCTTCCATCACCATTGGAGCTACCTGCTCTCTTCTGCTGATGTTACTGTTAATCCTAGAGAGGGTAGATGCACCTTAATCTAACATTTGAGGTTTGACCAATTCATTTTGGAGGACCTTTGCTAGGAGTCCAGACTTGTAATTTGATTTAGCCTCCGGATGACTTTGCTCTCATTTTTTCTTGCACACTCAAACTTCATCACCACATGGCAGCTACTGACAAAAAGATAGCATTAGGACAAAATATGGAGCAATAGGATGGTTTCCTGTAAGCAAAGGTGTTAGACAAGTATGTATTTTATCCATTTGTTCAATCTATACTCAAAGCATATCATGTGAAAAACTGGATTAGGTTCAGATGAGGCAGGAATGAAAATTAGTAGACAAACTCAATAATTTGAGATACTCTATGCAGATGACACCATATTACCAGCAGAAAACAGCAATGAATTGAAATGACTTCTGAAGAAGGTTAAGGAAGAAAGTGTGAATGGAAGATTAAAGTTGAATATTAAAAAGACAAAATATCATGCCCATAGGAGAGTTTCAGAACTTTGATGTTGACAATGCAGAAATTGCTGTTGTTAAAGACTTTCTGTACCTCAGTTTAATCATCAATCTAAATGGAGACTGCAGCTAAGAAATAAGTGAGAATTAAAAGGACAGCTATGAAGGAAACAGAAAAGATCCTTAGTGTAAGGATATGTTGGTGGAGGTGAAGGCCAAGGTCATGTACAATATTTTGTGGTATTTCCAGTTATAATGTACATATGTGAAGCTGAATAATGAAGAAAGCCAATAAGAAAAAATGTCAGTTACTTTAAAATAGTGACTTGTAGAAGAGTTTTATGGGTGGATTGCTGAAAAAAAAACATACGTTAATTCTAGATAAAATTAATCCTGAACTGAGTCTAAAAGCAAATGTGACTAAACTCAGGCTGTCATACTTTGGAAACATAATGAAAAAGCAGGACTTACTGGGAAAAATAATGCTGGAGAAAGTTGATGGCAACAGGAAAAGAGGAAGATCAATAAAAGAATCCATGGTCTTGAGCTTGCAAGACCTTGGCACAGGAGCAGGAGGGATATGACGTTCTGCACGATCCTCACACCCAAATGGCATATCTCCTCTACTCTGGCAACTTCAAGGCTAATTAGTTTGCCTGCAGTTGACAAAAGTGGCTCTTGCCTGATCTCTCCTTATTCTCTCCAAAGAACTTCAAGCTCAGGTCCTAGGCTAGCACAGCAGGACTTGTCCCATGTGGGACTTTAATTTGGGGTCAGCATGCTATGGATCTTGCTCTTGTTTGTTTACAGTGTTAAACAACTGTTCAATGAAGTTGGGCAGTGCAGCAGACTTGTACTGAGCAATTTTTGCCCTGGAGATTTGATGAGCTTGACTTCCAGTAAACAGATGCATCAGGTTCCTGCTCTCTGAAGTGAAAGAAGTTCCAGAGATGGACTGGGACTTAGTAGTGAGAGCACTCCCCTGTCACCTTTTGCGAACAGGGAATTTAGGAGTGGATTTCTTTTGCAACCAAAGAGGGGCTTTTGCTGCATTTGTATGTGTATCCTGTTTCGCCCATCATTTGGGCTTTCTATTTATTATTTTTTACTATTTAGAGGTGTTTAATATTAGTATATGGAGTGGAAGGTTTGCTATGTTGTCTTACTGTAAACCTGTTAGAATAGCGCTTTGCCCTAAGTGATCAGGTACAGAACATAGATATGCCACAAGCAGGCAATGGCCTTTCTCTACAGGCAAGCTTTTCCCGAGTGACTGGCTGCGTGAATGGGGTTAAGTGGATTATTGCACCTTACTGCTTTGAATATGTTTTTGTTCACTGTTTTTTAATATGATATTTGTTTGATTATTTTTAGTTGTTAGTTTTAAGTGCTGTCTTTTATGGATGTCAGCTGCCTCAGGTCCTTTTTAAAGAGAAAGGTGGGATAAAAAAATAAATGAATAAATAATCTCTGATCTTGGGACTGAGACCCCATAGCTAAGACACCAAGCCAAAAATGTGGACTTTTATGTTTCTTCGATGGATGGATGGATGGATGGATGGATCGATCGATCGATCGATCCAGCTATGTTTACTCAGAAATAATTTTTGTTAATTTGCATGTCTTGGTCCTATATATGTGAAAATAAGGTGGTAGCTGAAATTAATGTAGCAATCTTAGGGCAAGGCTTGATTTTTTGTGCATTCCCTACAATCACATCTTGAGCTCCCCCCCCCCAAAAAAAAAGGGATTGGGTGCACCCTTAGGCAAATCAGACCGCTTGTTGTGTGGTCACCGGAAAAAAAGAATGAACCAATCCTCCCCTGCAACATGCCAAACTGCGGGACAAATGCCCACATGAATCCAGGTTTATAGTTTCCTTTTTGATGGAGGGTAGGCCTAGAACTTGTATCTTTTTGAATATCTGTTGCCGCCACAGTCATTTGTGTTTGTGCAGAGGTTGAGATTTTCAAGATGAATTGTGTTCAAGAGGACCACCATTTAGGTAGCTTATGCAGGAAGCAGGAGGAAATTACCCTGTTTTCATGTTTCCAGAGATTTCAATATCTTTTCTACTCATGGGTTCTGTATTGACTTTGATTTGAATGAATGGTGTAATCCCATCTAAAATTGTATTACTGCTAATTGGCTTGAAATAGTGGCTTCTACGTATGTTTATTTTACTCTGTGTCTGTATGATCTCATAAATGTATGGTACTGTTCTAGGCACAGACTTGGAAGCCTCATTGCTGAGCTTTGAAAAGTTGGATCGAGCATCACCAGACCTCTGGCCAGAGCAATGTAAGTTATACTCAAGTTCAAAGTGCAAGAAGCTGTGTGAGCAGGCATGATCTGTTCTGGCTTTGTAACCTGCATCTAGGGAGAGGTTATTAGTTACTGTACACAGTTACCAAATACAGTCTTGGTGCAGCTTTGCCCCAGGCCATAGGGAAAGGACGTTTTTGGGCATATGCATGCAAAAGCTGAAAATTCTATTATCATTTATAAATCTATCAATGCCCCTGTTTTAAAAAATATATCCAATATTTTATAATGCTGGTTTGGTTGTCTAACATGTTTTTACTGTATAGATGCTTTTTGTCCCTTCACCGAGTGTCTGTCTGTACAGTACTCTCAGAATGTTAAGATATATGGGTGTAAAAACTTACGTTATCCATTCCAGGTTTAAATATGTGGTTCTGTGTGCATGCTTCTTAGTGTTGCTGTGTGTGAATAGAAAAGGAGAGAAGTGTGTAGAACATGTTCCTTTTTCTTTGTGTTGCTGTCCAGATGATGGGATTGGAATATATATAAAGAGGGGACATAGAAAAATTTCAAGACACGCATACTAGAGGAGGTTGATGGTTAAGAACAGTGAAGGGAGCTACAGTATAGCATTTAAAGGAGAGAAAGTTTGTTTGATAGCACGTTCTCTCATCTTCCAACTTGTTTCTTTCCTGTAATAAGGCAAGCTTCGAAAAACAAATCTAGCAAGTGTTCTTCAGCAAAGTTAAGTCTGAATCAGGGATGTGCACCTTTTGACAAGTAAGAGATTATCAATACATTTCGTTCGTTACACCTGCTTTATGAATGGATCTTGCAATTAGAGTGAAAGATGAGTATATCTGTCAATAACTATGTTCACCACTTCAAAAAAAGTATATAGTCTTCCAGATGTAGCGGGTTTGACAGCACAAATACATTTGCTGTATCAAATATAACAGGGTGGCATGTGTATATCTATACAAGACTCCATTCATGTTGTTGGTAAAGCATTAACTTGTGACCATTCTTAGACTGGATCAATACCACCTTCGTTATGAACTTTTTTACAGTGATGACTTCCACGTGGGTCCTCTGAAGTCCATCTGAGTGCACTTATCTATAAAGTTTTATTGAGCATTGTGGGAATTGTTCCTGAAGAGACATGTGTAGGATTATTGAATAAGTGCTCCAGTTAAAACAGCATGAAGCTGCATTTTTTGGGGCAAAGCGAAAAACAGTCCTGAGCAGCGCATGCAGGTGTTAGAGAAACAAAATAATATTGCTATTGAGATAGAGGCAGAACTCAATGTATAGAGACACATCTTGGTGTGCATGAATAATCCTTGATGCTGAATACTTCTAGCAATTTAGTTGGTTGAGTTAGTAAGTTAAGTATGAAATGACAGAATGACATTGAAGCATTGTATTGTGCTCTTTCTCTCTTGTTTCCAGTACCAGGTGTTGCTGAATTTGCAGCTTCTTTTAAAAGTGTAAGTAAATTCCAGCTTGCTTAATGTGCAGTCCTGTACATGTCTATCCAGATGGGACTTTCTGCTGATTGATAGAGCCATTCACCAAATGGACTGCTGTCCAGCAGAGCAGAGGTTCTCTGCTGGAAGAAAGACAAGGAGAACCAATCTTTGAAAATTCCTCTCCCCAACCTTGAAGCCCCTCCCCCACTCCTTGCCTTTCATGCTACTCTGAAATTTCCCCACCCTTTTAGAGCAGCTTTTCAGAGGGCTATGCAGATGAAAGAAGAATGGGCCAGAATTGCCTCTCATTGTTTTTGAAAAACCTAATGTGTTTTATCAAACAGGCAGAGGCTGTCTTTCTCAATACAGGGGGCTGAGGAGGAACTATTTCCAAGCAAAGATATTGCAGCTAGGTTGCCTGGGCAGCAACCTTATTAGTAGTAAAGGTAAAGGTTCCCCTTGACATTTATTCCAGTCGTGTCCGACTCTAGGGGGCGGTGCTCATCCCCATTTCCTACTCATAGAGCCAGCATTTGTCCATAGACAGTTTCCGTGGTCATGTGGCCAGCGCGACTAGACACTGAACACAGTTGCATGTAGGATGAGTAGTAGGATAGTACTAATTTAGGGATGCCATTGACACTCAACAAATTAGATATTAATACTGTTATTTGATTATATATATTGTTAGATGATGTATAATACTGTTATGCTTAGACTTTCTTGGGCCATCTGTGTAACTTATATATTCTGATTATATGTTACGTGAGTTGAAGCTTCAATCTATATCCAGTTGTTAGTCTCAGCAAGAGACCCTTATAATAATCCCTTTGATTCACTGGGACTAACAGTTGTATTTAGTTCTTAGTAACCTCTGTATTCAAAGACAAGCAAACAAACCTTATTCAGAAACATTTTTAAAGTCTTAATATGTTAAACTGTTCTTTAAAAAAGAATAGCTTGGTGCTGTTTGTAATACTTATCGATGTGGGTAGATATACATATCTTGCACTGAATTACAACTTAACTACTGTATTTGTTGCCCTTTGCAAATTTTTGTTGTTAGAATAGAAATTTATCAAAAATATATTTATATCCTGAACTAAGCCTACTTATTTTTTCTTAACATGTTTTTTTTCCTTCTACATGGCAATGAAACGAAGGCTTTAAAGAATAAAGCAACTTCTTCCTTAAGGAATGTTGAGTTTTGCTTCTTCCCACTATTTTGTTTTGAGATGTGTTTTGTATTCTGGCCAATATGGATGTAGATAAAATACAGGCAATCTGTATTTAATAAGAAAATAATTTTTGGTTATTTGGCTTGAGATATTATATATCTCCATAATATATCTTTGTTATATGTATTTGTTTTTTCATAGCCCATCACAAGTTCTCCTCCTAAATGGATGGCTGAATTAGAAAATGATGATATTGACATGTTAAAAGGTAAGCTTCTCTTGTTGATGTTTGATGACAATTATATGGAATTACTGTAGGCTGTGTTGTTTGTGCGAAAACTACACAAATGTTTAAACATTTATTACCAGCTTAATGAAAGGGGATATTTAATTTCTTGCATTTAGGAAATATGTATTCCAAATATGTCTCCTCTCTGATGAAGCAAGCATCACAACAGTTAAAATTGTCTGATTATGATGGTTCTTAAGTGTAAAACTCTTGAACTGAGCATCTTGACAATGAATAAATATGATCTGAAATGTGTGCATCTATACATTTGGTTGGATGTTGGTATTACTGAGTATAGCTCACAAACCTCTTCAGAAATGCTAGGCAAAGGAAGTTAAGAACAAAATATGAAAATGAGATCTATCTTTCAGAACTATAGTTCTATAAAATGTGGATTCTATATACAGCTTATCCTTAGTTCTAGACAAACATTCTTATTGTACCATTTTTAACTCAAACAAACCAACAGAAGCAAAATGTACAGAATTCCGTGGCAGTGTCGGCTGTGTTCTTGTTCAAAGGTTTCAGGATGAATAGGTGCATGCATGCATCCAAGCATGTATGACAAAAAGGGTTAGGTCAGTTGTTCAAACCCAGTCTCTTCTCTTATTTGGCTCATGTCCTTTTTTACTCAATGTGTAAGACAGTAAATATCATAGTTTTCCTAGTTATATAGGTTACATACATATGTATTTTGGTCTGTGACAATTTTTTTTAATCAGTCTTCATCCCGCATGACAATGATGCTGCAGTGTTGTTGGAATAACAACTGCCTTTTATCGTGCTGCTGTCCTTCCTCCATCCTCGGCTGATGAAAAATGACTGAAAGTTTTTCCAGACCTCTAAGAGCAAGTTTTTGGGCCATACAAGGGGCTGCAATGGAAAAAGAAGAACACACCTCTCTTGCTTTCTCTGGATTCTACTTTTTGACACTAGAGGTCCGGGATTTGATCTTTTAATCTTTAATTTAAACTAATTGGTAAGTCTAGTTAGATGCATCCATTTGTGTCCATTTAATTGGACCCGAGAAACTGCGTAAAGCAGAGAGGTCTGATCTTAAGGTAAACAGTTGGAATTATTGTACAAAGTATATTTTAAGAAATGACAGTTAATACAGTAGTATAGTGGTAGCACAGTATATACAACGTGGTGGATCATTGTTAAGTATTGAATGGCAAGTATCGAATTACCTTCATTTTAGAGCTGGGGAGTCTCACCACAGCAAACCTGATGGAGAAAGTAAGAGGTCTTCAGAATCTGGCATATCAGTTGGGCTTGGATGAATGTAAGTAGTATATAGCTACTGAAATACTGTATCTTTTGTTTCAGGGTTGTAATGTTATACTTGTTACAACTGAGCAGACCAGGAAGGACATAAATGTTTACTAAGTTTATATGTATGATGTGACATGATAGAAACATATTGATAAGTCACCAGGTGATTTAACACTTATAAAGTGTTTGAGATTGGACTACTTCTCCCAGAATCCCCACTAGTGTAACTGGTCATGCAGCCTAGAGGACCTGGTGAGTTGTAGTCCAAAAGATACGGTAATTTGCCCTGCTCAAAGGTAATAGGAACTGGCTACACATCCTATTAATTTCTCTGAGTTTGTAGAATCTCTTAGGTACCTCATCACCTGGACCACACCATACAAAAGAGGTGATCAGCAACATTTTAGTGAAATACATCCCTGTCTCTCCATGTTTTATTCCTGATTCAGCATCATACTCCCTCTGATATCAACACCAGTCTGTTCATGGGGAAGTTTTAAACCTTTTACAAATTTGGAGTCACAGACACAAACCATGGAATAAATACTAACTCATGAAGTATAATAATGTGTTTTGGCATCTGTTGCACAAGGAGTGATTGCGTCACCTGCCAAAAGTCTCTGACTTTTCTTCCCCCTTAGATTTTCTTAATGGTGGTTTCTCCATACTGTACAGTGAAGATTCTGTTCTCTTTAATTGTCTTATTTTGGCTTTTCCATGGCCCCATGAAAGGTTTTGCAAGATGCTATAGTGTTAGGATGTATGGCATCAGTTATCAAACGATTTTATTGGAATGTTTCAATTAAAATCCTTTGGCTAGATCTTCTAGCAGACCTTAATGATCTCAAGACTATAACTCCCACAATCCCACACTCAGCGTGGTCAATTGCTGTGTTATCAATAGAGTTCCGAGAGTTGTAGTTAAGGATGTGCACTGCAAACATTGGTATATTTGTATTCTCAAAGGCTTTCACGGCCAGGATCCGATTGTTGTTGTAGTTTTTTGGGCTATATTTTCTGTGCTCTGAGCACAGAACTCTATCTGTGCTGATAGCACGGACTGAGTTCTGACTCCTGTCCTCTGAAGATGCCGGCCACAGAGACTGGCAAAATGTTAGGAAGAAAAACCTCAAGAGCATGGCCAGACAGCCCGAAAAACCTACAAAAACCATTGGTATATTTGTTTCATTTCCATTCCTTGGGAGGAGGGCTCTTACATTTTAATATTTTTCATGCAGCAGTTCTTTCATTTTACATTAAAAGGATCACCTCTTTCAAGTAATTTCATTTCATGTTTCCTTATTCATTTTTTTTCTGCCACTCATCTAAGCAAACCCTAAGGTAATGGTTCCCATCCTTGAGTCTCCAGATGTTCTTGGACTAAAACTCCCATAAGTCTTCACCAATAGCTATGTTGGCCAGGATGCTTGGGAGTTGTAATCCACGAAAATCTGGATCCCACGTTTGGGAAGCGTTGCCCTAAGGAATTCATAAAAACTACTTGAAAAAAGCAAAGGCAAGGCAACAGTACATGAGAAAGAAAAATCATGATCAGACTTATGCAGATGCCCAGCCCAGTGGTGTGTTGGCACAGTCACAAATCTGCCCCACGCCAGCCCATACAGCCCCACAGAAACTAACAAAACAGTCCCCAAAGCCCCCCACCAACCAAGGCTATTCGAATTTCTTTCCCCACTACAACTTGATGCTTCTCTTCTTTTTTCGGAGTCCAAAAAGCAGCAGTAGGAAGACCAGAGAGGCTGCTAAAAACAGTCCAGGGAAGGGAAGGACTAGAGAGAAGGGGAAATTCACATAGAAATTGGGAGAAGGAAGACCTAAAAATAATCCCAAGGAGGCATGCTGGCACAGGTAAGCTGTCTTGTGACAGCACCAAAATAATTCAAATAAATGAAAAAAGTACCAACCCCCCAAAAATAAAGTAAAAAGAAAAAGAGTTAATAATCCAGTATGGAGGTACAGAGACAGGCAGGCGTCACAGCACAAGATGGAGGGCAGTGGAAACTCCCATTCCCACAAGCAACAGCTGAAGCAAAGAAAAGCACTCTTCACTGAGTTCAAACCTATCCACACACTTTTACAGATTCAGCATTCCTGCTTTCCCCTGGATGTTCTCAGTGGCTGCTGACAACAGACTTTGTGACATTTTTGAAGAATATTTTCCTGGCCAATTTGACAGAAAGGGGATTTCTGTATACCCTGTTTCCCTGAAAATAAGACCTAACCTGAAAATTAGCCCTAGTATGATTTTTCAGGATGCTTGTAATATAAGCCTTACCCCAAAAATAAGCACTAGTTAAGTGAAACCCCGCCCTCCACCATTGTGCAGCAACCAGAAGAAGATGACATGACTGTATTTGAATAAATGTAGACTGTTGTACATGAAAAAATAAAACATCCCCTGAAAATAAGACCTAATGCGTTTTTGGAGCAAATTTTAAGACACTGTCTTATTTTCAGGGAAACACAATAGATTTCTTTTGTCAGTGCAAATTCATGTTTAAGAGGCTTTTCTTCATTTACATTGGGGGAAAAAATGATAAAGCACCTCTTCCGTATTTTTTTTTCTTAGTTCAGATATCAGAGCTCTCAAGTACCTACCTATAGGTTATGTGGCATGAGAAATGTGTTTCTGCAAAAGTATTTGACTTCATTGTTGTGCCTTCATATGAACCCTCTGACCTGTACGCTCTTAGTGGGCAACACATGGGCTTCATGTGACTCTCACATCGGCTTTTGTAACCTGCAGGACCTTCTCCAAATCAACGCTGCCAAAATTCACCAACAAATTGCACACCCCACTTGCACTGCAATATTTAGCAACCACCTTAACATTTCTTTATAACCAACAGAAAATGTTTGCTTTAAAGGGTGTTTCAAGGTTTACCACTAATTAAGGTCCGTGAGGGACATGGTGGCGCTGCGGGCTAAACCGCAGAAGCCTGTGCTGCAGGGTCAGAAGACCAAGCAGTCATTAGATCGAATCCACGCGACGGAGTGAACGCCCGTTGCTTGTCCCAGCTCCCGCCAACCTAGCAGTTCGAAAGCATGCAAATGCAAGTAGATAAATAGGGACCACCTTGGTGGGAAGGTAACAGCGTTCCGTGTCTAAGTCGCACTGGCCATGTGACCACGGAAGATTGTCTTCGGACAAACGCTGGCTCTATGGCTTGGAAACGGGGATGAGCACTGTCCCCTAGAGTCGAACACGACTGGACAAAAATTGTCAAGGGGAACCTTTACCTTTACTTTAAGGTCCGTGAAGGGGTGCAAAATCCCCATCCAGACATGCTATAGTTGCCCATCCCAGGATTAAGTCCCACTGATCAAAGCAATACATACAAATTCCTTTCCAAACAATCAGTGCAGCTGATATGGCTGCACCAGCGTACAAATGTCTTTGTATACTGTTCTGTGTCTCATCCACTTTGTTGGGAAGTGCGTCTCTCTTGTCCCTGTCATGCAACCCACTATTAAAACTGCAAACAAATAACTAAAATACCAAAGAAAGGTAGCTTAAAACACTTCCATTACTTTAAGATGAAGTTGTTTATTTGATGCTGTATTGGCCAAAATCCTATTGCTTAACATAGTAAATTGCACTAGAATAGGTCTGTTGAATCAAGGGCAATTTAGTGTCTCAAATGCACTGTAAATTCTAGAGTAAGACACAGATAGAATAGGTCCATGGAACTTATGGAGAAGTTGACTCATTAGGCAACAGGACTTTGGCTATTGAGTATTTTGTTTTGTGTGTAAGGTAGTGAAATAATTCTCTGAAGAATCAGAATGAAAACAAAATTTACTTTCTAATAACCTCTAGATGGCAGCAGAAAGCTTCATAGAATTATTAAGTGGAAAGTATATTTGTTTGTAGTCTTTAAGATTTAGATAAGAGTGCCTCACTATAGTATTGTCATTATTATTTTTTTGTTAATTTCTTTTCAAAAAATGGTATCAGATACTGGCGCCATGTAACAGGTTAACACAAATTGTTTTCTTATAAATGTGCTGTTGTGCCTTTTATACATTTCTTTTTAGAATTATTAATAAACTGCTCATTGGGAGTTTTCAGAGTTGGGGCTTGCACTCTTTCTCCCATTATTCTTCTCTCTCCCCTGAAAGTAGTTTTGAAAGTTTGTTCAGGAGCTGGTGGTTTAAAATTTCATTTCAATTTTAAGATTTACATTTATAGTTTAATGTATAAAATGTATGTATGTTTTTTTTATAATTCTGTTGCTGCATTTCTACGCTGCATTTGAAATGCTTCTGCCCTTTATGTATATGTAATTGCTGATTGTACCTAGGATTATTTTCTTGTGGTTTGCTTATTTTGGTCCTTCAGAAAATACCCAGGAGCCATAGAAAGCTCAGCCCTAAAGCAAATACCAATAATAGATAGAGAGATTGCTAGGAAATGGGCAAGAGGGGAAATAAGCAAGCTTTTTAAGGGAAGATATTCCATCGTACTGAGGCCACTACAGAATGGGCCTTGTCCCCTATCCATACCCGTAATTGTTGACCAGCTGACTTGTCCACAGGCCAAGATTCCAGCTTCTGAAGCAATTACATTGAAATTCTAGCAGCCTTATCAGGGTTTAACTGAGGAGTGGTAAACAGTTTCCCTTGTAAGAAGTCATAAAACTTCCAGAAGTCTCATACTTCAGGGATGGAGAGGGTGAAAAAACCCATGTAATCCATACTCTCTTATACTGCAGGGCTGGAAGGGACCCTGTGGATCGTCGTCCAGTCTTGTCAAAGAGGTACAGTGGAGAATTGAACTCCCAACCTCTTGGGGGGTTGGTACTTTTTTCATTTATTTGAATTATTTTGGTGCTGTCACAAGACAGCTTACCTGTGCCAGCATGCCTCCTTGGGATTATTTTTAGGTCTCCCTTCTCTCAATTCCTATGTGAATTTCCCCTTCTCTCTAGTCCTTCCCTTCCCTGGACTGTTTTTAGCAGCCTCTCTGGTCTTCCTACTGCTGCTTTTTGGACTCAGAAAAAAGAAGAGAAGCATCAAGTTGTAGTGGGGAAAGAAATTCGAATAGCCTTGGTTGGTGGGGGGCTTTGGGGACTGTTTTGTTAGTTTCTGTGGGGCTGTATGGGCTGGCGTGGGGCAGATTTGTGACTGTGCCAACACACCACTGGGCTGGGCATCTGCATAAGTCTGATCATGATTTTTCTTTCTCATGTACTGTTGCCTTGCCTTTGCTTTTTTCAAGTAGTTTTTATGAATTTCTTAGGGCAACGCTTCCCAAACGTGGGATCCAGATTTTCGTGGATTACAACTCCCAAACATCCTGGCCAACATAGCTATTAGTGAAGACTTATGGGAGTTTTAGTCCAAGAACATCTGGAGACACAAGGATGGGAACCATTACCTTAGAGTTTGCTTAGATGAGTGGCAGAAAAAATGAATAAGGAAACATGAACATGAAATTACTAATGCATTTTTGGAGCAAATTTTAAGACACTGTCTTATTTTCGGGGAAACACAATAGATTTCTTTTGTCAGTGCACAAATCAACGCTGCCAAATTACCTTAGAGTTTGCTTAGATGAGTGGCAGAAAAAATGAATAAGGAAACATGAACATGAAATTACTAATGCATTTTTGGAGCAAATTTTAAGACACTGTCTTATTTTCGGGGAAACACAATAGATTTCTTTTGTCAGTGCACAAATCAACGCTGCCAAAATTCAGCAACAAATTGTACACCCCACTTGCACTGCAATATTTAGCAACCACCTTAACATTTCTTTATAACCAACAGAAAATGTTTGCTTTAAAGGGTGTTTCAAGGTTTACTACTAATTAAGGTCCGGGAGGGACGTGGTGGCGCTGTGGGCTAAACCGCAGAAGCCTGTGCTGCAGGGTCAGAAGACCAAGCAGTCATTAGATCGAATCCACGCGACGGAGTGAACGCCCGTCGCTTGTCCCAGCTACCGCCAACCTAGCAGTTCGAAAGCATGCAAATGCAAGTAGATAAATAGGGGCCACCTCGGTGGGAAGGTAACAGTGTTCCGTGTCTAAGTCGCACTGGCCATGTGACGACGGAAGATTGTCTTCAGACAAACGCTGGCTCTATGGCTTAGAAACGGGGATGAGCACCGCCCCCTAGAGTCGAACACAACTGGACAAAAATTGTCAAGGGGAACCTTTACCTTTACTTTAAGGTCTGTGAAGGGGTGCAAAATCCCCATCCAGACATGCCATAGTTGCCCATCCCAGGATTATGTCCCACTGATCCAAGCAATACATATGGGTACAAGTTCCTTTCCAAACAATCGGTGCAGCTGATGTGGCTGCACCAGCGTACAAATGTCTTTGTATACTGTTCTGTGTCTCATCCATTTTGTTGGGAAGTGCGTCTCTCTTGTCCCTGTCATGCAACCCACTATTAAAACTGCAAACAAATAACTAAAATACCAAAGAAAGGTAGCTTAAAACACTTCCATTACTTTAAGATGAAGTTGTTTATTTGATGCTGTATTGGCCAAAATCCTATTGCTTAACATAGTAAATTGCACTAGAATAGGTCTGTTGAATCAAGGGCAATTTAGTGTCTCAAATGCACTGTAAATTCTAGAGTAAGACACAGATAGAATAGGTCCATGGAACTTATGGAGAAGTTGACTCATTAGGCAACAGGACTTTGGCTATTGAGTATTTTGTTTTGTGTGTAAGGTAGTGAAATAATTCTCTAAAGAATCAGAATGAGAACAAAATATACTTTCTAATAACCTCTAGATGGCAGCAGAAAGCTTCATAGAATTATTAAGTGGAAATTGTATTTGTTTGTAGTCTTTAAGATTTAGATAAGAGTGCCTCACGCATTCTCACTATTTTTTTTGTTAATTTCTTTTCAAAAAATGGTATCAGGTACTGGCACCATGTAACAGGTTAACACAAATTGTTTTCTTATAAATGTGCTGTTGTGCCTTTTATACATTTCTTTTTAGAATTATTAATAAACTGCTCATTGGGAGTTTTCAGAGTTGGGGCTTGCACTCTTTCTCCCATTATTCTTCTCTCTCCCCTGAAAGTAGTTTTGAAAGTTTGTTCAGGAGCTGGTGGTTTAAAATTTCATTTCAATTTTAAGATTTACATTTATAGTTTAATGTATAAAATGTATGTATGTTTTTTTTATAATTCTGTTGCTGCATTTCTACGCTGCATTTGAAATGCTTCTGCCCTTTATGTATATGTAA